AGGTGACCGGCTTAATCACGAGTTGCCCGCCTATCGCGAGTGACGGGCTATCGCAGGCACACACGCAGCACACGCCCGCACGCCCGCGCGCGACACGAACACCACACACACACAGGCCACACACCACCCGACACACCCACACGACGCACATCAGCACAAGCACACACACACAACATCATATATTTTAGCTACAGCGCGCCGCGAAGCACGCGCGATTTGAATTATGATTCAATTTTTTACCGTCCTTTACTTATGATATATTTATTGAGTATAGGGTTTGATGATTTTGTTTGTTCCTTAATTACAGATGTCGGTCCGTGTTACTGTAATGGGTACTTATATGTATTTGCTGTGATTTCCAGCGTTTTATCATCTTAATTACAAATATTATTAATATAAAAGTATTACATCACGTAAAATAGCTTGGCTATCTGCAGGCAAATTTAATATTCCATATGAAATTCTCGTTTTTTAAGATAATGTTCGACGTTTAAACTAATTGTGTTTAGTATAGAGAGGTATGCTCTATAGTTAGACTGCCAGTATAGTGCGATTAGAACTGTATTAGTAAAGTCAACACAATCCGCATTTTCAATGGCGCATATGAACATAGTTCGAGAAAAAATTGAACGGCAAATCAGTCGGTAATGGCATTTTTGTGCTTTTACATTCATTATTTACATAAATACCAGAAGTGAATATTAAGAGTCTGATTAGTCGTATTAATTCACTCGCTGATCATACCACCATGATATGATCAGATTTTATAGGAGTTACAATCGATAGGAATGAATAGTAAATACGTGCAAGGCGTAGTGTAACGTCGTAATATCAACTCCGGCGATTTCACCTTAAGCGTGTATTGTAAACTAGTAGTCAAGTATTTAATTAGTATTTTGTATCCGACATGCAAACCAACAGCCTTATGAGCGATCAACAAGAGGTTCGAGTGAGAATTCCCGAACTGTAATGTCTAGATTTCGATCTAGCGAATTTAATGCAATTTCATGCAACTAAAACGTCAGTTGATAATCTAAAATGCTATTTTGCTAATTCTTGTTCTCCCTCTCCTTCTCCTACATTTCCATCTCTCTCGCTTCCTCCAGCCAAAGACACGCTTATCAGCTCGAAATTGGCTCTGGCATGGCCAGGGGCAAGCTTATAGCGTACCTAAAATGGTAGCTCTGGGCGCCATCTATGTGCGCATTAGCAGAAACTCATTCCGCTGTCGCCCCGCCGTTCATATCACGTATCAGGCATAAAAAGGTGGGCGAACGACGCAGCTGTTGTGTACGTGGCGGCAACAAAAAATGAAACATCGCCACTCGATTCAAATACAGCAGGGGGAAATAGGAAGCATGGCTACGGGAATAGCATCCCCCTGGACTGTTAACAGGATACGGCGCATATAGCATATCCCTATAGATAAAAAAGGACAACCGGAAAAGCGTTGGGTTTGTACCGTCCTCCCTGCCTGCACTGTGTCAAGATGAGAGACCGGATACCAGAGAAGCGTCGCCCAAACGAGGTGTTGATCCTGACCGCTGAGCGCGGATCTTGCGCGCAGTTCCGCGGCAAGGCGCACGCGACTGCGGGAACGTCCTACGAAAGTATCACGCGCTGGCAGCTATTGATCCGTGCGCCGACCTTTGGATTTGGCGCATGGATCAATAGCTGCCAGCGCGTGATACTTTCGTAGGACGTTCCCGCAGTCGCGTGCGCCTTGCCGCGGAACTGCGCGCAAGATCCGCGCTCAGCGGTCAGGATTAACACCTCGTTTGGGCGACGCTTCTCTGGTATCCGGTCTCTCATCTGGATATGCATAGAGAGGTCATGGCAATCTGTAACATTCTTGGGAAAAAATTACATGCTCGGTTACTGGCAGTGGTTCTGTTGCTGGTTGGTTGTTATACCAGGTCTGTTCTGAAATTCCTCCCCTGAAGATGGATAGGCATGCTATACTCTCTTTACCAGTTTCTTCGCCAATGCTATAATACTCACTTGCAGTTCCATTTATTATTTATATATGCAGTAGCTACATTGTTAGGCATCTATAATTATGACAGGTGAGGCCATGGGTACGTGGTGAGGAATCGGCTCACATGCTGGAGCCACGGCTTCAAAAGCTAAGTTTGCTTGGCTTGGGGAGCAGCATTAGAACACCACCAGAAGGTAACTAAAATGCCGTCACCAAGGACAGACGACTGATATATGTGCTTAGAATGTGCCAAGAATTAAAACTGATGAAAGTGATGTATATAGTCAATCAATGTAATGTGGATAGTACCTCAATATATTTCTTTTTGTAAATTCAAGGTATCACTGCAGAAGTTATTGTCGTGAAATCATTCGAAGAACTTCGTAACCGATCAGAAGAGGTATGCGTTAAGTTAGATTTCAAACTAAGCTATGTTTGGGACTATAGATCAATAATAAGATAAATATTTAATACAGCATACTGCATATATGTGTACTAACTACGAACTAACGTGTGCACGCACTTCTATATATGCCAACAATACAGCAGAGAATAACTATCATTTGTGTACCTTGACTGACATGTACTATCTGTTCAGGATTTAAAAAAATCGTTTTGCACTTCCCACTCACAACCTACCTAATACCTATTGTGTTTTGTGATACAATCCTTGCATAGCATCTAGGTGCATTCCTCGTTTGCCATAAGAAAACTGATTGGCAATAACTTGATCTGCTCTCCTTCTCAGTAGTATTTATGTCTTTATTCATATTGGTAAGTGCCACTCTGTCTTAATGGCACTGTTTTTAACGATGTATCCTTCTAAGTCATGGGTTAATGCTACAAAAATACCAACTACTAGTTTCTAGACTGAATAAACATTGCTAGCTAGTTCCAGACCACTGTCATCCGCTGTACTACAAAAAAAATTGTAAATCTCTTTGTGGTTGTTTTGCTTAGAGTGCTTCACATTGAAATTAATTATCTAACACATTCCGTATTACAGGTTTGATTTGTGTGATATTGGTTTAGGCTAAAGGCAAGATAGTGGTTTATAATGAAGAGTGGGTAACGTACGGTACCAGCGTTCAGTACAGGACACGCGGTGCGACTGAAGCTGCAAAAGTTGCTGCCGTTGCATCTTTAGTGCGTTCTGTGACACCCTTCTCCATCTACAGTCCGCATACCGGACACCAGGTATGTCAACAGTCATTTACAGTCTGCATACCGGACACCAGGTATGTCAACAGTCATTTACAGTCTGCATACCGGACACCAGGTATGTCAACAGTCATTTACAGTCTGCATACCGGA